GTAGGCAAGGTTGAGCGTGGGCAGTGGATCAATATCCTAAAATTTCAGCCTCCTAGATTCCGTGGTTCCTGAGATATTGATTTACCCGTAAAAAACTTTCACGGGGCCGCACGAGTTACCCGCAGGTACGGGAAGGCTGAATTTAAATTTGCCGCGTCACGCGTTGGCGGGAAACATTATACCAAAATTTCAGCCGCCTAGCTTTTGTGGTTCCCGAGTTGAAAGTGCGGGACAAAATAGAGCACTATACCAAAATTTCAGCCGCCTAGCTTTTGTGGTTCTCGAGTTGAAAGTGCGGGACAAAATGTGGGATACATCGGCGACCCCGTGAAAATATGCGTTTTGTAGCGCCACTACACAGCACAAAACGCATAAAAAAGCTGAAGGTAAATTGCGGGTAGAAGTGGGAATCATTGGTACAGCCTCCTAATCGTCACATATATGACGAGCATGTGCCAGATTATCAAAAACAAAAGGCAAAGAAACTGAAAATAACTAAAGTGGTAGCACTCTGCTTAAAGCTAAGAGCAACCCACGTACCATCGTAGCTCTCTCTCTTTCAAGAAATATTTGAAAATCAAGCTTGAAGCCTCCTTCTTGTTGATTAGCTAGAAAGCCAGATGCGCAAACACAGCTTGGACTGTACGTGGTACAGGTAACCAAAGTTAAGTTCCAATTTGTCATCAAAATAAAACCCTCAAACCCTCAACGACAAGGACAAATCTCAACGACAAACCCGAACCCTTGCCAGCACAACAACGGCAGTGCTACTTGTCAAAACGTCGTTCCAATTAACCTAAGAATCAATGTTCCTGCGGTTAAGGGATGAAACACGGATTGCAAACTGATCTATCTTTTCACCAAAAGCCGTAACTTCACCCTTAATGATTTTGTATTATTTACCATTACAGGAAGTGTGGAAATTTGTATCAGAAGAATCGAATTTTCCGCTATCAAAATGCTGTCAAGTTAAACCTTTGCCGTAATCATGATGCAGTTTTTTGGACACCGGAGCTTTCGTTTCATTACTGTCATTCTCGTCATCCGATATCCACATTTCAGTTAGATTGTGCTCTTTATAATAAGCAACAAGCTAAAACACTCATAAATAATCTATCAGTTAGAAAGTTTGGAATGGTATGGATGCGCAAAGCATAAGATCGTGGTCGATGGCTCCATAAATGAAGCTACAGAAGGAACAATTTGTTAATAGCAAGGAAACGAAGCTGTCGGCTAAGCCCCTTCGCCTTGTCTAGTTACCCTTCGATTTCGTGTGAAATGCAAGTTTCCCGTCTTCCGACTCGAGTTCTCCCTCAGTGATATGAAATTTTGTAATTAGAAATGAAATGGTGATTGTTTTTTGGCTTATCAGTTATTCTGTAGCGCAACTTGGAGCCACTGCCGAATTTTTCTCGGTTTATGACTTTTT